CTCTTTAGTCTTTAGATTTCACAAAGGAAAGAAATCCCTGATTGGTGCTAATCTGCCTTCAACTCTCTAACTCCTGCCATCCACCAAAATTCACGTAACAATGATCTGAATCTTTATCCATGCAAGAGATCTGTAGCGTTTATGAGAGAGCCTCATCCTGAACTCCCTAGAGAGAGCTGAGTCTGAAAGGAGCACAGCTTCACCAAGGACTCAGGTTCCTCTCTCTCAGAAACTTCACATTTAGTTTTGAGACACAGTAACGGAATGGGGTATATTTATCATGTTGAGTGTGTACGGATCAGATCAGTGCATCAGGCATATTCATCACTGTAGGTATTTATTATTTCTTTACATTGGAAACTCTTTACTAATAATTTTGAAATATACGATTAGTTTTTGTCAACCATAGTCATTGCACTGTGTTGTAGAACCCTGGAAGTTATTCCTCAATCCAAATGCAAGCCTGTGCTTGTTAACCAGCCTCTTCCCTTTCCCTGCCTCCTTCCCAGATAACTACTGTTCTACTCTCTACTTCTATGAGATCAATGTTTTAGCTTCCAGATATAAGTGAGGTGATGAAGTATTCATCTTTCTGTTCCTGTGCAACTTCACTTTTTATGAGGAAAATGATGCTGATAAGGGGTGCTCCTCTGCCGTATTATTGAGAGATACCTATTGGCCTTGATTTCTTATTCTGATCCCAGATTAAGGACCAAAGATGTTCTCCCTTGGGGGAAAAGGGGAAGCAAGGAAGATAAGAGAAGGAATGAATTGTTGAAAACAGCAGCACTTTTTGAGTTTGTTGGGGTCTTTGAGACAAAGTTTCCCTGTGTACATATTTCAGGCTGATCTTGAACTCCTTATACAGCCCAGGCCAGCCTCAAATGCTCAGCAATCTTCCTGACTCAGCCTGCTGAGTGCTGGGGTTACAGGTGCGCATCACCATACCAAGCCACTTGTTGGTTTTGGAGACCAGTCTCAAAAGTTACATGAAGAAGGGATTTGGTTCAAAAAAGTTAGAAAGCACTTTCTAATACTCAGGCTGGACCCAACTGTGTATGGAGACAGCCAGGGTGGCGAATCTTACTCTTTAAAGGTTCTTTTATTTGCCGAAAATACTGTCTCTCCTGAGTGCTGGCTTTCCCCAAATGTGTACACATTCTTGATTGAATGCTTATACTGGGGGCAGAATTTTCTTGCATAACAAAGCACAAAGGACTCCTAGGATACTTCAAACAGAAGTTCTTCGAGGTCTCTTCTTCTCCTCTAGTAACAAGGATTTAAGCTTCAGGATGGGGAAAAAAAGAGCTGATCTACATGGGGAGATTCTGTGTGAATGAACCCAGATTTAATCCAGGAGGAAAGTTATACTTGTTACTGGATTTACTCTTAGCCAGCAAAAGTTATCTCAACCTATCCCATCTCTAGCTACATTTGACCCCTTGAGGTTTGACCACCATGACTCAAATCAGAGGCCCATCAGACTGCCTGGAGTACTCGTGAAGTAGGCATATCTCTCCGCCCAACTCCCAGTGTGATTCTTTAGTTACAGGCTGACTTTGATGGTAGTGATCCAAGGGCTACATTTTGCCAAACACTGACTGGAGCTAACTCAGATACTATGTTGCAGGGCTGGGATAGCAATAGTATAGGTAAGCGATGTTCTCAGTCAGAGTGTAGATGTGAGTCTAAAAAGCACCAGTAGTCCTTTCTCTGCAACATTCCTAACAAGGAAGGAATGGAAGGCAGGACTCCAGAGCACCAACTAGTAGATTTTTACAGTCTCAAAAAATATGATCTCAATAACTGAATAAAAGAACCTTAAAAGATTGAGGTGCATTAGGAGGAGCACGTAGTGATTAAAGAATCAGAGTGTGACTTCACTTGACAGCTATGTGAATGACATGGAGTTACTTAACCTCGCTGAGCCTGCTTCCTCACTCATTGGATAGTCATACTAGTGCATAAATTATGATGAGGATGTAAAGAGGTCTGTGCATTTAAAGGATATAGTGCAATTGACTGGATATTTGTATGCCCTCTTCAAATTCACATGTTGAAACCTACTTTCCAAGGTGATCGTATTGGGAGGTGGTTAGGTATGAATACAGAGTCCTATTGAATGGGACTAGGGACATGTAAAAGAGACCCAGAAAACTCCTTAGACTCTGAGATATCACGTGAGGAAAAAAGGAAAAGAGCTGTCCAGCAATCTGGAAATGGACCCTCACTGGAGTCCCAGTCAGCCAGTGCTTTGGTCTGGAACTTTCCGCTCTCCAGAATTGTGAAAAAATAATTCCTGCTGTTTATATGCCACCCAGACTATTCTGTTTTAGACTCTGAATGGACTATGACACATGGCACTGAGTCTGACACACGGTAAGGCTCCTAGGAGTTCTAATTGTCCTTAACAAGGTCATAAAATCTTGGAGCTAGAAGTGATCACAGAGATCATGCCATGAGTCCAGTGCTCAGGTAGTGATGCTTGGCATGAGAGGACTCAATACAGAAAGAAACCTTTGGGCGGGATAGGCCCCCTATACTGCCCAGAAAGGAAAGGGCACACTAACCATGCAAGGACTTTGGAGCCCAAACCTCAAGGTCAACTTTATGTTTTTATTGACTCAATCTGCAGAGCAGAGCTCAGAGTGGGTCCAGCTGTCTGTGGGCACCAGCAGGCTCTGCAGAGGAAAGCAGAACTGCTTCCTCCCTCCCCTTGCTCTGGGGTTTAATCAGAACTGTATCTTAAATATGATTGTGGGAGATTATATTGGGGGATTTGCAGGCAGCTGACATGGGGCAGAGATGGCAGGAACAGATTGTGGCTGGGGACTGAGGTTGGGATAATCTTAGGCTCAGACGTGCCATTCTCAGGCCCTCTGCCTGGATCCCTGGAGCTCAGCATCAGTTCTGGAGACTCTGAGCCCCACATGGAGAACTAGATTACTCAGTATCTTAGGGTTGGGGAACTAAGAGGAGCAGAGGTTTGTCCAAGGTGCATAACAAGGTAGTGAGCAATGTAAGGAAAGCAGGTTTCCACCCTCTGCTGCCCTTTTTACCCCTCACTGCCTCCAGACCTTTGGAACAATTCTAGGCTGCAGGAACTTGCTCAGGGCAAAGGGCAGAGGTCTCCGGGTCAAGAAATGGTTCCTAGAGCCAGAGGTCCTGGAAAGTAGGAAGGGCAGCTTACTTTAGGTGGCTCTCACGCCTACCTAGGGGGCTGAATGGCTGGAGGTGCATGCAGTCAGAGTTTCCTACCTCTCACCCTTCGCACCCAGCCCCCATTGGCCCCCTGACCTTTGTGTTTAGAAGGATTCCTTCTCCAAATCAGTTGAGTGTCCATCTGGCAATGCTGACTCATTGTGATGCTAAGGGACCCCCTTCCTTCTACCAAACGGTTAGTCTGATCCCCGTCCTCAAGTGGGGACCACAAGGATTCCTCAGCCACCTGGGCACCTCCAGAGGGGTCTACCTGGTGCAGGGCGGGGGGTGTCCAGACTGCCTTGAAAGAAACCTCCAGCTAATGCTCTTTATTACAGGCTTTAATCCCGCAAAGCCTACTGGAAATAATGTTTATCTTTTCGCGGTTTAATTTTCCGCACCCTAAGCCTGGGGTCAGCAAGGGCGACTGGAGTGTCTTGGGGAGGCTGGGGGGTGGGGTGGGAACCAGCTGTTACCCAGGAGCAAAACCGGGCAGGGAGGCAGGGGTCTCCCGGAGAAGGGGAGAGAGGAAGATCGAGAGAGCAGAAACTCAAAACAGGAATTGGACAAAGAGTGTAAGGTTGGCTCCATCGAGGAGCTGTCTGACCCTGAGCCAATCTCCTGCCTTCTCATTTGGCCTCAATTTACTCGTCTGAAGGAGAGGGAGAGGGAGAGACAGAGACAGAGACAGACAGACAGAGACAGACAGAGAGAGAGTGACAGAAATGGATCGAGGGAGAAAAGGAGAGTTGCAGTATTCTATGGGTTTTAAAGACCTTGGAGACACTGAACCGGATGTTTTCTATTGAAAAGAAGGCGGGGTAGGGGGAGGTGGGGAGGGGGAGGGGGAATAGCTTGCGAATCAACTCCTCTGTTTCTAACTTTCACCTTTCCCTTACACACGTTCCTAGGATCTTAAAATTTCCACCCAGCTCTGCAGACCTTTTTCACCCCAGACTTCAGTAACTGCCTAGCTGAGGTCCACGCTGATCCGAAGGTGGTCACTCAGCTCGGCAGGGTCCCGGCAGGGGAGATGCTGCTCTTTCCAGGACCCAGCCCTTAGATGCACACCCCAGTTGCCAGCCCTCCTGCCCCCCTCACCTCCACCAGCTCCCAATGGAGCATCCTTTTAGCATTCATCGGGGTCCTCCTTCCCTGGGGCAGCAGAGTGCTCTCTGGCTGTGTAAGGTCGAAGCTGCTGGACCCGGGAGGCAAAGTCAGTCAGGCAGCTTCCTCCGGACTGCACTGCTGGGTATTTTAAAATCTGTCCAGCACTGGACTCCCAAGGCCCAACACTGCTCCAAAGGAGACACCAGATACTCGCCCCTGACCTCATTGGTTGGCCTGTATGGGAAGTCTTTGCTGACACATTTGATTAAAAGAAAAGAATGTTCCCCTCCCTTCAGCCCCCTCCAGCCTTCCGACTTTGTTGGACAGGAGCTGTGCCCAGCACCACACCAAGAGATGCCAAGACTATCTTCACTGCCCCTTCTCGCGGTGAATTTACAACCCAAGTTCAAGTCCCCGGGAACAAGGGCTGCTCTGAGACAAATATCCTGGCCTCTCTCAACCTCCTTGGCACATCAGCCTGGGGGCAACAGCTTGGCATGGCTGCTTGGTTGCACAGCCTTTGGTCGCTAACCCACAGGCCAGGAGGCTTTGCCTGTTCCCTGGTCAGCTCCTCTCCTGGTTATTAAGGGGTTCATCACCTTGTTCTCAGGGCCCCAGGCTACACTTTATGCTCTTCTTCACCCTGACCTTGCCGTGCCCCCCGACACAGATCAGCCGCACAGTTTAGGTTAGGCGTGATTATTTTAAAGGATGCAAAGGCTGGGAGAAGATGCAGGTGGTCCTTGGGGACCAGAAGAGCAATGAAGTTACAAAGTGGAGGGAGCTGGGTGAAAGGTAGGGGTGGGCAAGAGTGGAAGGAGGTCAGGCGCTTTATCCAGAGGGGCGAAGGAGATTTGGTAGCGTCCTTGCAGTAGGTGGACTGGCCCAGGCTTCCCCCTCCTTCTTCCTCAAGATGCTGTATCTCCCGCTCTGCTCTGCAAAAGATTAGGGACAGGTCTGACCACCACCCCCAGCTCCGCGTGCAAGGACATAGCTAGGACGGTTTCTGTGGGTCTGTCTCTTAGGTGAAATGCAAATTCCCGGTCCCTATCAAGGTCTTCCAGCTTGTTACTGTGGAGGTGAGTTCCAAAAGGGGCCCATTTCCAAGATTCTTCTGCAAATTGAAGCCATTGCGCTAACCTGCTGAGAGAGGAAAGGTTGATTAAAACCGGAAGGCCACTTGGTGGTGATTCTAGGAAGTTGGAGGTCAGCAGGGTCTCATCTGAGGAAAAGCTAAGGCCTAGAGGCAATTTGTTTGCTAGAGGTATCGCTTGGATGCCTAAGTGTAAATTCAAATAACAATGTAACCCAATTTTCCAAGGCAGTAGCTAATCCTGAGAGAAATTACTACAAAGAGCAGATTCTGACAGTAATTGCTGGAGGCTGTTTAATGCTTGGCGAATGTCCCTTTGTGGAGGGAAATTCCCTTCCTCCGGTCCTCAGCACAGCCACAGAATCCAATGTTGTCAAGAGACTCTGCTTGGCAGTCAAGCCCTTCCTGGGGATGAGACCCTTGGGAACGAGTGCTCTCTGAGGTAGCACCAAACCCAGCTTCCAAGGCCTTGAATGCTGGAGCTCTCTACACTCCCAGGGGGGCCACAGAGAGGGCTTCAGCTGGACTTGATCACTGACCTCCAACCCATAGCATGTATCTGGCTCACCCTCTCAGATGTCTGTAAAATCCCAGCTGCCTGATCAGCCTTGGGAAAAGTTTGTGCCAGCGCAGCTAGTCCTCTCCAAAAATCAGGCAGAGGACAAGGGCAGCTGTGCTAGAGGGGCATGTCAAGGCACCCTCGGTACACCTGCCAGAACCGTGGACTATGAAGGCATAGATCTGGACAGTCCATGTCTTCAAAGAGTGGCTATGCCATCCTAGGTAAATTGCCTCCTTCTGAGTTTATTACTATTACTTGGCCTGTAATGAGGGAGGACTAGAACTTTGATCTCTAAGCATCACTTAAAGGAACGCTATGGGACAGTCTGAACCCAGGCTTGCGCAGAGGCAGAATGCGTGGCTCCGCCGGCCGGTGGTGGGCGGGTATCTTTTGGACACACAATCTCAGGGCAGGCGCCCTTGCTCTTGGGGGCCCACTACCTTCTGCTCCAGACGGGTATGGGCACTGCAGTGCAGGCTCCCTCCTCCTCGGGCACGGCGCACAGTTCAGCGGCAGCCCCTGCAGGGCGAACACGGAGTTTCCAAAGATTTTGGCTTCACGGGAAGACTCTTCTTCGCACGTGGAGTCTCTGGGGACCAGAGGTCGCGTTGCGGAACCTAGAGGCTGTCCGGAAATCATGTGGCACGCAGGACTGCGAGGCCTGGGCGGGGCTGAGGGAGCGCCTTCCACAGCGCTGGCTGCCGCAGTGTGAGCCAAGGACCAGATACGTGGCTTCTCCCGGCAGGGGTAGTGCAAGATCATCGTGGGCCCCCCGGGCTCTGTCGCAATGAAGTCATCTTCTCCTGACTCCCGGGGCTCATTCAAGGAGAAGCGGGGCACAGCCAGGCTGCACATTCCGCTTTCCAACCGGCCCTCTCGAGCTGCGGTGCACCGCGCGGTGAGTGAGTGCGCGCTTTTACGGAGCTCCGACAGCCTGTCTGAAGCTGCGGCCGCCTCCTCCCCTTCTTCAGCTTCCTCCTCTTCCTCCTCTTCCTCCAGGTCTTCCAGGTCACTCAGTCTGAGTCCCTGGGCTTCCTGGTTAGCAGGAACGTCTGCAGGAAATCAAGAGCAAGTGAGAAAAGCCCCAGGACCTAGGGAAAACCGCGGGAGCGCCCACCCCTGCGAAGCTTTTAGCGGGATGCGCCCTACACCCAGGGCATTCTCAGTATGATTAAGCACACCGTCTCTCCCACATGCCCCAGGGCTGACACCCGCCCCTCAAAGACTCCTCTCCTTGCAGCACCAAGCCAAGCGAAGGCCATTTGGAGCTGCTGGAGTCTGTGTCTCAGTTCCTCCATTGTAAAAAGAGGAGGGAAGGGTTTTATTCAACTTTCTACACCTATAGGTGGTTGCTGCTCCATTATTTTGTTCAATAAATATTTACTGAGTGCTGTGTGCCCAGAATCGTTCAGGCACTTAGGTATTAGGTCTTCAGGGAGGACAACAGTGAGACATACAGTGGAGAGGACATTCTAGGCAGGGGCCAGGCTTGGAGTTTGTACGTTTTCTCATAGTGGTAAATGTGGCAAAAGTAATACAAGTGGCTGATGTAGTAGATACTAACTAGGAAGCTACTCCAGCTTGAGTAAGGAGGGACATTTTCTGAGGTGCCTCTCTAAAGCCGAGAAGAAGCCGGTTCTGTAGGGAATTCCAGGCAGAGTGAAGCACAGGGGCAAAGGCTCTGGGGTGTGCAAAGGATGAGTGCAAGGAGCACCTTGTAGAAAATCTACGAACTGCTTAATGGCATGTGAAGCCTACCAGGCGTGGTGGCCAAGGCTGTGAGTACCTTTGGTGTCACTGTCCAAGGAGCCCAGTGACTCCTCCATTCTGTCCTCCACCTTCCTCTCCTCCCCGCCTTTGTTCTTGGGCGCCCACGTCATCTTGTTCTCCTTCTTGAGGCGCCGGCGCGCGTTGGCGAACCAGGTGGACACCTGGGTGAGGGTCATCTTGGTGATGATGGCCAGCATGATCTTCTCGCCCTTCGTGGGGTAGGGGTTCTTGCGGTGCTCGTTGAGCCAGGCCTTGAGCGTGCTGGTGGTTTCCCGCGTGGCGTTCTTCCTGCGTCCTGCACTGCTTAACTCCACCCCACCATACCTGTGGAGAGAACCCAGCTCAGTTCTAGGCTGGGAATACACTGCTCGGAGCAGTGGACAGTCTGCTGCCTGGAAGTGTGGCTCTGCTCCCTCCTTCCCACTCCTTCTCCACCCCTGCCCCATCCACACCACCTTGGCAGGGGAGCCAGCTACCAAGGAGCCCCACTCCTCACCGGTCATACTGGTACTGCCCCAGAGTTGGCTCATAGGGATAATAGGCTCCTGGTTGTGCCAGGCTTGGAGTCAGACTCCCTGTAGCTTCCTTAAACTCATACTGTGGATTCTGGCATGGGGGAGAAGAAAAGAGAATTCAGGACTATTCTTGGGCAGGATGCAGGTGAGGCTATGGATTCTGTGGTCAAGTCCAATTCACATCCTGGCCCCACTAGTCTTACTGGCTGTGAGACCTTGGGATCAGTTGTTTAACTACTCTGTGCCCCAATTCCTCCATTGGTAAGGTGGTGATCACAACCTACAGGGTACTGAAGAAGACCATGCTGATTGAAGGCTTGGTAGAATCCCTGGGACAGAATACACAGTACTTAAATATCAGCTACTGTTATTCTTGCTACTTGTGTGCCCCACCACATTCAGGGCAGCTAGACACTTCTCACCTTCACTGTCCTTGCAGAGCTAGCCTTACCCCCTTGCCTCTTGTGACTTTGGGTAAGGTAGTTGAACCCATTTGCAGCTCAATTTCTTCATCATAGCGATGACTTGTTTACCTCACAGAATTAATAAAAGTATATGGTCTCAACATACTTTTGCAAACACACTTTTGCAGACTGCAAACTGGAAAGTGCTATGAAGGTGGCTTTTCCCCTCATACAAGACACAGTCTTAAACATTTCCTTTCCTAGGGTTTTGTGCATCCCTGCTAGATTTTCCCTGGAGAGGCTACAGTGGATTTCACTTGCAGCTACTGTTAGTACCCCGTTAGATTCCACCCTGCATACTCACCAGTGCCCCATACAGTGCTGTTGGCTCTGGACCATAGGGCAGATAGCCAGGGTAGCTCTGGGCAGCTGCTGCAGCTGCATAGGGGGCTCCATAGATGCCCAAGGCTGCTCCCAGCTCAGGCCGTGCACTGCCCAGTAATCGACTGTCATAGGGTGCGCAGCAAAGAGTGGATGCTGGGGTGGAGCCTGAGGCCACATCTGAGACTGAATGTGGGGCAGATTCGCAGCAAGTGGTGCCAGAGCTTGCAGACATCAGAAACTAGAGGAAGAGGATGGAAAAGGGGTCACTGGAGGTCAGAGACCTGAGCCATATGTTTCCTTCCTTCCTTCTTTCATTCTATCCTGTGCTCAGCACTCTGCTAGCTTCTGGGATAGGAATTTTCAGCAGGCAGTTTATTCAAAATGCTCTTATAGATGTGGTTATGCCATTGCTAGCCCTCCAGGGTTCTAGAAGGTTCAGGAAATGTGAACATTTAGAAACCAGAATTAGAGACCAAACCCCTAGCCCTCATCTCTAGGCACCCCTACGGGACTCTACACAGGTAGAGGTGGAAGTTAGCTTTAGAAACCATCATCAACATTTTAATCCTACTCCCACTTTATAAATACGCAATCCAGGACCAGTAAGAGTAGGAGACAGGTCCAATATCACACAGCAGGTCAAAGGTCAAGCTGGCACTAGATCCTAAGAAAATATACCAAATACTATGGGGGGAGAAAAGGAAAACATTGTTGGTGTCCCCAGAATTTCAGCAGAAAACTCACTATTGCCTGGTTTGAAAAATCTAGAGAGCTTAAGCAGAGATCTTGGACAAGCCCAAGGAAGAAAGACACGAATAGAGATCAGCAAATGGACTACAACAATATAGTAAGACCCTGCTCTGGCCTGGAAGTCTTTTCGGAGTCTCCCACTCACCTCACATCTTGAAGAGGTGGCCTGACTGGAAGATCCCTGAGATCCCACCCTCCTCGCCGAGCGCGGGGTCAGGGCGCCTGCATTCAGGTCACGGGATTTTCCAGCATGCACTTTCGAGTGGGACGTTTTCAGTCAGGAATTGGGGTATCAGACCAGGCCATCACACACTGCCCCGCGCTTGCTCCCTCTGGCTTCCCCAGCGACACGCCAAAGGGAAGACGCTCAGGGAAGGGCGCAAGGGGAAGTCAAGGGTAGGAGCGCACACTGGACAACCCATTCTACCCAGTCCGTTCCCGTTCCCCTCAAAGGCACTTCTTACCTGGGAAGCGCCGCCGTACGGGTGTCCGAAGTGCGAGAAGGACATAGTGGCTGTTCTTGGCCTGTGTCCCTCTTCCCTTACTAGTTCCCCTCTTAGCTCCAGGGCTGCACGCCCCTAGCCAAGCGGAGTATCCTTCCTTACACCGCTGCCGAAGCCCACCGCCGGTTGCTCTGCAGGCTTGGTGCAAGGGAAGGCAGAGCCGAAGGCAGCCCAGCTGCGGAGCCCTGCGCCCCGGAAGGCGTCCCTCCGGCCCGTGGGGTCCAGAAGACAGAAGGGCCCATGGATGGGAAGGGGAAGGAAGAAGGCGCGGGTTCCGGGAGGCGCGCGGTGGCGAGGCGCGGCTCGGCGCGGGACTGTGAGGCTCCGGAGGTGTCCCGGTCCAAGGTGGCCAGAGGCTCAATGTGACGTCACGATAATCTCGGGATGTCAGACGGGACCCCAGGCCCCGGGGCCCCGGGCCACCAAGCGTGCCAAGCGCAGCCAGCCCGTGTGTGCGCGCGCGCACTCTCAACCCCACACTCACACTTGCTTCAAGAGGTTTGCGCAGTCGGTGAGGAACGTCAAAGACCCTGACCCTCTGCTGAACGCTAGATTCTACGCTTTTTCCCCTCAAGCTCACGCACTCACATAGAATCTCTACAAATTACCCAGGAGAAGTAGGAGAAACGCCTCCCTCTACGCTGCGCAGGCCCTGGACGCAGCAGCGCGCTCACCTCCTCCCCTGCGGACCCTGTGGAGGCGAGAGGCAGCCCGGGCGGCAAGGGAGGACAGAATACAAAAGAAGAGACCAGAGAAAAGTGGGGGAGAAATGCAAGAGGGAGAAGGAGGAGGGGAGAGCAGAGAAATGTGTCTAAGTGAGCAGAGGAGCGCGCGTGAGGGGGTGGAACCGAGGTGGGGAGGCTGGGCGGAGGCTGAGTTGGCAGGTGGAGGGGAGCAGTGGCTGGGGGAGAAGACTCTGTCCAGCCCAGCTGCTCAGCCTCTCCGCCGCGGGAAAGTTTGTTTTCACCACCGGCCTGGTGCCGGTTGGTACAGCTCCGGGCTGCCTTGGTGGATCCCACTGGGCCGCCCATCTTTGTCTCTTGGGATCTGCCTCCTGCTTCAGTCTCTGGCTTATTCCGGCTTTCCAAACTTTGGCCTCAGATTCTTGACCCTGGGCTTTTCTGCAGCCGCCTGGCCCTCTAATAAGCCTAGTAACACCCCCTTGGGCCCAGGTTCAGGAATCTTCAGATGCAGCCTGGAAAGGTGCCGAGTGTGACCCGTGGGTTCTGCATATTTCTAGTTAAGACCCCTGAGCATCTAAGAGCGAGGCTTGGTTGCCTTGCACGAGCCTCCGCGGTGTCCCCCAGGGAGCCCGGGAGCAGGGTCTGGCTGCAGCCACTGTGCTCCGCTGGGGGTGGCGCTGGAGAGCTGTAGTGAAGAGCTCTAGGAGGAGGCCCATTTCCTGCGCTTGCCGGAAAGCCTCCCAGGGCCCATCGGTATGCACCTACCCTATCCCTGAGGTCCTCAAAAGGGCACCTACAGGCCTTTACTAGGGATGCTGAGTGATGCCTAGAAGAGGGCTTCATCCTCTAGGCCCACCCCTGCGAGGCATGGGAAGTTTGCAAGCACTGTAGACTCTGTGCATCTGAAATCTGGATCCCCAGACCCCAGACTCTCTTCTGAGGGCCTCCACATGCTACTAGAGGTGAAGAGGGATCGTCAGCCTGACTAGAGATCTTAGGCAAGTGCCACAAAGTACAGGGTGGAGTTTGCAGCCAGGAAACACCAGGAAGCCTTTCCTTTGGTGCGGGGACTCAGGGCGCACTTGACACTTTATAAAGGTCTCTCCCAGGTCCATGTTGAAGCCCCCTGAAGGAATCATGGGGGTTAATTTAAGGGCCCAGTTAGAAATAAATGTTCTAATTGGAACACTAGACCCTGTGGCCCAGAGGAGAGGGCCAGCACTGGGTTCTTGCCAGGCAGAAGGTGACCCGTGGTAGAAACAATGTCTGTGTCAGTCTGGAAATCTCTTACCACTCGTTTGCCTGGGGCACCTTGCAGAGGGGACCAGTAGGCCCCAGAACCCATGACCTCTTCAGAATGACATTTCCGGCTCTACCTCCCTTCTCCACTACCTCTTTTTTCTTCACAGATTCTTCAGAATGAACAAAGAGTTTAAAGAGGCCACAAACCGCAGGCTTCTCTGCCAGAGAGATTATTAACACGAAGACAAGCTCCATGCTAAATACTGAGAAACCTAGCTGCTACTGTGGAGTGTGGTTACCTTGGAGAAACCTTGCTCTCAACTCAGGATACTTCTAGTTAGAAAAAGAATTATGGTCCTGGCCAGATTGACTTAGTGATAAAAATTCACAGTAATAAATAGATCCCTTGATTTTTCAAAATGCACTTTGGAGCCATCCACCCATTTGCAGCTTGGATACATCTAGGCTATTTTTTTTTAACATAAGAATTGGAGAGTATTCATTAAATTAGTCCCTTGGGGAAGATTACTACTAATTAATTAATTGCAAACATTTCCAGGGGGAAGGTATGTCAATTGTAAGGTAATAAAATTAGATAGTCAAAGCACTTACTCAGCAACTTTGCCCATTTGTTCCTATGCAGAATTTTTTTATGATAGAAAAATGGGGATGCTGGTGGAGAAAAAGCATTAGCCCTGTCCCCTGACAATATAGTTGTGAAGCAGCAACTACCATATAGAATTTATTGATTTTCAGCTGATTTATAAGACCTTTCTGGTATCAATGCTCTGCACAGGAGCACCAGGCCCACCTCTTGTATTTGGTCTAGGATTAGAGAAAAGCAACAAGATTTTTAAAAAGAGCACAAAACCCAGTGACAAAATAAATTGCTAAGAGTATAATCTCAGCATTTTTCTTCCTCTCTAGCAATGGAAAACAGACAAAAGAACATGTTTTATGTGACAGTACCTTATGGATTTTCTTCAAAAAGGCACTTTATGATTTGGGGAGCTTCTCTTAGAATGTTTTCCAGGGAGGAAGGTATTGTCCCCCTATGTTTCCAGCCTTGTAAGACCTTGATTTAATATTTCCTTTTCAGGGAGAGCTCCCTGTACTGATGACATTTGATTGTTACCACCTTGAATATTTAGCAGGATTCTCTAAAAGTGGTGATTACAAGATATGCCTATTCTTCCCATTATTTTGAGGCTCCCATAACAAACAAAGCCAGTAAGCTAAGCCAATATCAGCCTCTGTCTAGTGGAAACCTCAGGTGGAAAGAAGTCTGTTTCTTGGAAAGTCTGATTCAGAGATGCTGCAGTAGAATTTCCTTTCGTCTTCCTGTCTCCTCCCAGGCTCTCAGTTCTGCAGCCTGGTGCTCTGGGCTTCTCCACTCCAGCAGCTTTTCATTGCTTTGTTCAGCACTGATTAATTTAGTTTCAGGGGAAAAATCCCCAACTGTATATGTGTGCACATAGAATTTTATTGAAGCAAGCAAATAAACCTATCAAATACAAACCCTCCCAGTTACATTTAAGGGAGTCATCCCACCAAATGTATTTTGAACAAATGATATAGATTCTTTTGTTATATTGTGCAACATGCCCAAAAGTTCCTCTAGCTGCTCATTAAAACTAATATGAAACAAAGCAAACAAAGGCCTATTTGAGCCACAGAGAGTACTAATTCACATTGTTCATTTGAAGTTCGTATTGCTTTGCCTTAAATGTACTGAAGTTTCTGAGCAGGCAGAGTAAAGGATGTGTGTTTGACAATAAGCTAGAAGGAAGCAACCTCAACAAAAAGAGGAAAACAAATCATGCTGCATTATTCTGGGCTAAAATTGTTTATGATTTCCTAATGATCTATAAAGACAGCAGATTTTACAGGGGGGAAATAACAACCCTTAGATGCTCCCAAATGGCTTCAAGTATCTGAAATCACAGATAGAACGGGTAACGTGAGCACAGTAACATAGCTGAAAATGTGATCAATTATATTTTTAAATATGGAGTTTTAGTGACTGTTTTTGAACTGAGAAGAATGAAATTTCCTCAAATCTATGCATGAATGAACAAGTGCATCTGGACAGATGCATCCATAATTTATACCGATCAGTCACTGCAGGTCTCCCCGAGTAAAGCCGAAATGAACACTAATTGTTTTGACGGAAGTGGTGTGCACCGCATCTGATTGTGAAATGCAGTGAGTCCCTGCCTTGCCTGAATACATATTGTCAACAACAACTCTGGCATCAGGAGGGGAAAATAAAAAGGTAATAATTCCCAGATGGGGGTGTTGATGCTGCTTGTCAGGAAGGTGGCACACAGAAAGAATTAACTTCTTTGAGGTAAAGTCTAAAATGAGACGGAATGCAGAGACCCTGGCTTGTTGACATTGTGCCTGAGGTTAGAGTTAAAACTGATGGCTTGTTAATAACCACAAAATTCCTTAGCATTGTTTTGAGTACTTGAGAGATTCCTAAACACCTCTGCTTTGTTTTATTAAAGGCTTAGGATAATATTGGGGAGGTGAGAAGCAAGTCTAAGATCATTACAAAGCTACACGGAAGGCAGAGAAGAGATCAGACCTCTTGAGTTTGGGTTTCTGTATGAGACCATATTTCAAACACATACACCAGATATAGCCAGGAGATGTTGTTAACTCCAGACGAAGTTTGTGAATTCCTGTTTAGTGCCTTCTGATGACACAGTGTGACTTAACAGAGAAAATGTCTAAAGTTTCGGTATTATGAGCAAACGAGTTCAGAGTCTCCTCTGCATGCCTTCATACCAGTCTCTATTATGAAGGGCTTATGCGATCATTTGGGGGTTTTAGAAACTTGTATAAATCATTAATTCAACAAACAGCAAACAGATACAGTTGTGCATAATAAGTATTCACAAAACAGCAACCAAGAGAGAGAAAGAAAAAAAGGAAGAAAAGAAGAAAGAAAGAAAGAAAGAAAGAAAGAAAGAAAGAAAAAAAGAAAGAAGGAAGGAAAGAAAGAAAGAAAGAGCAAAGAAAGAAAGCAAGCCCCTGTTTTAAAAAATCCAGCTGAAATTGTATATCTATACTGGTTTACAAAACATTAGAATTTAGTTACTGATAATTTTCAGGAAGACAATACTTTTTAAGCTTTTTTTTTCATCAGTAAGTTAGAGAGTTTGCTCTGTTAAAATCTCACTTTCAGGGCCATTTTTGTGTATAGCAATTCTTTGCCATGTGAATGATGACATCTTTCTAGTGATAAGCTCAAGGCATCTGATGTGTTTTCAAGAAATTAAGCTTTACAGTAAACAACAGATGTATGGATTTGAAAATCAGGGAACAGATTTTGAAGGCAAAGTCTTTGAGAAAGAAATACATGTACATAATAAAAACCTTAAAGGGACATCATATAAGGGATCATAGGGATAATATGCCATGTCCTGTTTTTTTCTCATGGGGATAATATGCTATGTCCTTAAGTGAACAGCTAGGGAACAGAATTATGGCCTAGACAAATATGAAAGAGAATCAATGTGTTGCTGGCTTCACCTACACTACGGATGAGTGGTTTTTGCATATAGCTCTAGAACTGAAGCATGGCCAGCCTGCAGTTTGTAAGAATGATATTTTGTTATTCTTGACCTTAGAGGACTTCACTGCCATAGACATTAAAGCTTCAATTAAAATATGAGCAGCTTCAAGCCATATATATTGTCATCTGATTAGTGGCATTTCTCCAGTATTCTCTTTCAGTAGGATTTCTCCTACTTTTAAAGCTGAGCATTAGAACTGACCAGAAGTCTTCTTTTTCTTGCCACCTGGGGCCCAGTACTTTAAGAAAGCTAGGACGTTTGTAGT